TACGTACGTACATGCATACATACATTCGTACGTACCTGCCTCGCCCCCAGCCACAAAAAAATATTGGGGGGAGGGGGGGGGCTGGGGGGAGGCGGGCGGGGGTGGTATGTATGTACGTACGTACCTTGGGGTTCCTTATGGCCTCGGATGGGGAAGCCCAAACTTTAACTGTGAAATGAGCGCCCGTGCACAGTCGGACTATTATGCTGAGCATGCTGCTGGGGCATGCCAGGTGCCTGAGAGTCTTTTGACGCACCCCGTCGAGAAGGTCAACTGCGTGAAAGCAACGTCTGAATTTTTAGTCTGGTGCCGGTTGCCCATACGGCGGAGGGTACCTGCAACCAGGAGCGGGTCAGGTGGCACACAATGTGAGAGGTATGTGTGCACGCCAAGCCACCCTGGAGGCTGTTGCTTAGGATAGCCTCAGACTCCCCCACACTTCCACAGACTGCGATTTCTGACAAGTACTGCCGTGGCCTGATGCAGGCTGCAGGATAAAAGTATTGTCGACGGGGCCGTCATAAGGCACCTCTCGCAGGGGCTGTGACTCTGGTAGTCTGCAGCTTGCCGTGGGCCGTGCCTTCCATCCGCTCAGTGGTGGTGTCGGCGCCTTTTCTGAGTGGTAAGCCCAAACCTGATCTCCACCAACCTGCCCACTGCGAAGTGCTCGACGAGAAGCAGCGAGCAAGAGCAGAAAAGCCGGCACCTTCGGGCCAAACCACCAGCCACAGAAGTCCGGACCGTCTCGGTCGTCCCTGGGCACGTGAAAGTGAAAGGCAGGAACTTGGAAGTGGAGCTCAGTGCACTGCCAGAAGTATAGCATCACGTCCAGGCCGTTGACCTTCGGGCTTGCATCTGTGTTCACTTCGGTCGGCCTCAGCCCCGATCCACGGCCTGTCCGTTCTTCTTGTAGACTGGCTTTCCGTGGTTGTCACTTTGGAGGTTGAATTCACCCCTGACCTTGCTGCCAGCAATTACTACAATTGCGCCGGCAAGCAAAGAAGGCGCTTCGACACGACTGGACTGTAAGGTAGATAGCTGTCCTGACAGGCCGTCTTTGGTTCCATAACCTATATTATACATTTCAGGAACGTCGAGGTCTATGCAGCTGCCGGACAGGCAGCACATTCAGCGGTGATAAGATCGGCGAGTTCTGAGCAGGGAGCAATACCACCGACAGTGTCGTGCTTGCAACCGGAGACTATCAGCCTCTCTGGCCTCGAGGGTGACGCTTTGGTTCAGGTATTGCGCATGCGTTCACTTTTGAACTCTGTCGTTCTTGAAGCTGAGTTGCTGATGACGGATCTAGGGTCGTGGGGCTGGGCATGTCTAAAGCACGCTTGCGGTCGTGGCCGACCATACAAAATTCGCCCCAAATGCCCTGCACCCTCACCACCCGAACAAAAGAAACAGACGATAAGATATATTCGAATTCTCTATTTGGCCGCCTGCCCGAGGAAGTGGACGGTGTGTATCCGGCCTGCGCCGGCTTCGATCTTCTACATGGACCCTCAACATCCCTCAACATCTTTGCGAAGGAAATCTTGTTTCAATTTGGTTTCCCAAGCAGGGGTGGTGCACACTGTGGGGTTCTAGCGTTCAGAGCAAAGAGAATTGGGCGTGAGACGCTCGCGGCAAACAAAAATTCTTGGGGCGACGCTCCGGCTGTGGTGCGGTGCATAGTTTGTGCTTACGTCCTTCCGCTGGGAACGCTCTCCCGAAAAGCCGGATCCATAAGCGCCGGTACTTGGGGGAAAGCATGCCGGTGGGGTCCCTAGACGGTCTTCTGGAGATTCTTGGTGGTCGTCGCGGCATTCGCGGCCTGCTCCTGGTCGTGGTCGTCTTCGCGGTCTTGGTGGTGCTCGTGTGAAGTTTTGTGTCATTTTGTTGTTTAGAGTGGTCCAGGTGGTCAGAGCCTGTGAGTGAGTGAGTGAGTGAGGTCCAGGTGGTGTTTGGGTTGAGGGTTTAAGAAGCCACTCCTAGCATCACCGATACCGGGCTTGGGGAGCTCCGTCTCGGGCACAGGATTTAAGGAGCTTGACTCTGGAAGGACTTGTGTCGCCAGAACCCCTCTTAGCAAGATCGGGATGGTTCCATAAGCGCTCGGTGAAGCTGTGGCCTGGCTTGCAGGCACACCACCATAGCCATATCCCGGGTATGTTGCCTCTCCAGGTGCATTCAGTTCCGGAAAAAGGAGAGGATTCTGAGCGAAGGACCGTGGGAGGCGTCTGGGCCGTCGCCGGAGCGTACCCTGCAGAGTAGCCCGGCCTAAGGGCGAGGGAAATTGCGAGTGGCGTCTTGTCTTCTTGCATTTTGAATTAGGGCTCCAGCGGCTGTGCATAGGCGTAGCCTGCTGGCGGGTAGCCTCGGATTTCTATCCTGCAGTTTTGCAATGCTTCTTCCGGAAGGAGGCATCCCAGACCGGCCAGCACGATAGGTGAGTTACAGCCAAAGGAGTTTCGTCAGACAAAAGCAAGCCTAGCAGCCCTAGCAAAGTTGGAGCAGAGTGCTACGATCAAACCCACGCAAGTTGTCCGAGCGCTGTGCCTGCCGGATAACTCGGCGGATACCCGTACCTTGTTGCCCGATGCGGAAAATGAGTAGCTGCTAGTACTGTCATGAAGTCTCGACCCCACGCCGTCCAGGAATTGCTGGATGCAGTGTTGCGGTAAGACACTGACGTGCACCAGTTCGGGGGTTGTTTGAGGTGAGTCTTGCAACAAGATGGAGGTCACAGAATCGTCAACAGAACCGGACGTTGCTTCCTTCCGCTCTTTCTGCTTGCAGGCCCGGTACATACTGAGCCCACCAGGCTCACGGTGAAAATGCCCGCGCGCTGCAGGCCGAAATGGCTGCGGAGGCCCTAACCCTCGACACGTCAGTCTCCGCATGTCTACATACAGGTCCATGGTGTGACGTGCAGCCAAGCAGGGCTCACCGGTGGCACCTTCCAAAGGGCACTCGGACTGCCCACGGACCCGCGGCTGGAAGGTTCACGACTTTCCAGCCCAAGCGCATCCTCTTCACAGTTAGCCAGACAGCCGACGAAGCTGTTTAGCAAGCTGTGCCTCGCCAATTGCGGTGGGCGCTGTCGTCCTTGGAGTTGTGGGTCCTCATAGCATTTCGACGAGGCTCTTCCCTTAACACAGTCTTCGGTAGCCCCAAGTGCTGCACGGTCGGAGAGCCCGCCTCAACGAGCACGAGTCTCCAAGGCTTCTAGTCATGACCCTCACTTGAGACTCCGGCTGGCTTGTTCACCGGAGTCCACACGCCTAGCACTTCTGTACAGGACACTGCCCAGGACACGCGTCGTCCGCATCAAAATGGCCTTGAAGCCCCAGCATCTGTCTCGGCTGGGGGTACTCCAGGGGTCGTTCGTCCTGCACCTGGGAGTCTGACAGGCTGCCACGTGGAACACGAGCGCTTGCGAAATCGCGACAGCCTGCACCTATGGCGCCCAAAGGTGGTAGCTGCCCGCCCGGGCTTCGATTCGGAGAGACCGGTGTCCGGGGAGATATGCCCGCCTGTGGCAACAGGCGCTTCTTTGGAATACTGCTGTCGATGGAGTGCAGAAGCGAGAGGAGCACTTTCTCTCGTTATCTTCTGGCCGCTGACAAGGCTCTCAGACATGCTCCCAAACATTCCCTGTGCGATCAAGGAAGACCCACGATTCGCTCCGACTCCGGTGCGCTTCGCGCAAAGGAAAGAGGAACACCAAAGGGGCGGCATCACAAGCTTCACCAGCCCTCGAAGAGGCCCTGCACAGAGAATTCCCAGCATTCGATGTGCTCGGGGGCGGGCGCTGTGGTCAATGCGCCTCGCCCGCCACATTCCTGCTGCGTAACATCGCTGGAACCTCAATCGAAGAGCAGATGTGTTACATGAACTGGTCCAGCATCGCGCCGAATTTTCATGCTGCACCTTCTCACGCTCTGGCTCCTCCTTTGATGGCAATTGGACCTGAAGGTCACGAACGCGCCGTACTCTGCAGTATACCAGCGTAAATGCGGCCTCCTGGCGGCCAGGGCCTGGTGGCAGTCTTACAAAAGGCCATGAACAGAGGCAGGAGCACACGTGGGAGCAGTGTCGCGGGGAGAATAACTTGCCAGGCCCGCCGAGCATCCCCCGGATCGCCTGGCCCTCAAGATGCTTCCTCGGCTGGCAGATCACCGTCAGGCTGCAGTGTTGTCCCTGCCTGGGTGCTACCTTTGTGCGACGAAGGCAGAAAGGAAACCGGAGATCATGCGTGACACTCTCCTTCTTGCCCTTCGCAAAACTGCGACATATCAATTTTCGGCTGGTCAAAGAACATTCAGTGGAAACCGTTGTGCAACGACAGGATCCTGGGTCTGGGTTTGGATGACATCACCGGGCAAAGTCTTATTGACAAGCCATCTGACTCGTTCTCAGAACCAGACTGCTTTCTTATCGATCTAGAACTACAAGTAGCTCCCTGTGGCACGCGCACAAATGCACTTGTAACACAGAATTACAATTCATTACATGGTCGCCCGTTGTGCATAGAGATTGAGACAGCCAGAGAGATGGACTTGCAGCCACTCCACTGGTCATTGGCAGATCCCTGCAGCAAATGCCCGTAGTCCTGCAGTCGCACGAACAGAGTGTCCAGCTTGCCAACCTCATCTCGAAGCCTTTTCAACTTCCATTGAACCGTCACACAACCCCCTCTCTGCAAGTTCAGAGTATGTTGCTGTGAACTCGTTATTCGGCTCTCTTTCTGAAAGCTCCTGCAAGCTCACCGGGGCGCGGGGTGGCGCCTCCAGCTGAATACGGCCCCAGCGACCTGGCATCTGCTCGGCTTTCGGGTGTTGCGCCTGAGCTCAGAAATCGCCGTGCAGGCCGCGGTTAAAGTCATTGATCATCTTCCCGAGGAAAGGATCAGGATTCATGACCTGGGCTTGCTCAGCTATGAAGATACTCCCAGGCAGCCGAAGTCATTCTGCCGCTAAATCGCACTTTGTGGCCGTCATACATGTTGATTCCACCGTGTTGATAAGACTGCAGAAAAACACCCGATGCAGGAGAAAGAGAGGCCCAAGCTTTTCAAGCTACTCGCACGGTGCCGCAGCCGAGCCCCGAGCAGGAACAAATTTGGGAAGCAAAGGACCTTCGTGCCTGCGGGCAACGCGTGGGCTCAGTTTCACTAATGTCTACGCATCTCAGCATCCGGGTGGCCTGATGGCTTTTTGAAGGTCCACGCCATAAATCCGTTCTGTCTCTCTCCAGACCTGAGAAGAAGAACAAGGCAAACAATTGAACTGGTGACTTGCTGTCACACTGCAGATCGTTGCAGTGTAGCAGCAGTCTTCTCGATCATGTGGGGGTTCTCTTTCCACAACTGGCACGGCCGCTCGAGTCATTGCCTCACAGTGATGAGATGCCGCGCTCCTTGCCCAAGCGGGTGACCAAGTCGTAGCCCGTCTGCTGCCGGTCGACGTGCTGGCCAAACACGATACTTCGCGGGATTCGGGGCGATTTCGGACTCCGTAGCCTTCTCGCCGAAGACGCGGCACATACACAACAGCTCCTGCTGCTCCTGACACAGTCTCTAAGCATACTGCAGTGACAGACAATACCCGGTCAGTCGTAAAAGATTCGATGCGTGATACATGCAACCTACGTGTACGGTGACTGTGGCCCTAAGCAGAAGCTGTACCTTGCCTTCGTGAAGCGCCTTCCGAAGCCGACAGGAATGAACCCGGGGGCATCCAGAAACTCGAGCTCCGTGTTCCTCCGCGGGGCCGGCAGCAAAGTAAAAAGACACGCGGCGATATTTGCCGAGTCATCCCAGTCCGAGGTCCTGAAACCACCAATCTTGTGCCAAGTGAGTCTCTTGGTCAGGCCCGGCCGCCCGTTCTGGCCGAATTCTCTCTGACCCAGCGTGCAAGAGAGATGTGAGCGCCGCACCCTTGCAGCCACTTTGCGGCCGGTGAGGCGATTGATGATGGAGCTCTTCCCGACCTGAGACTCCGAGATACTCCGAGCTCGAGGCTTCCTGCCTCTCGACTTCTCTGAGGCGGAAGCATTTGGGAAGCCTATCCTTTGTGTGTCTCACAAACTCCACCAAAAACCGAAAGCCAGAGCGATCTCGAAGACAGGTTGCATCATCGTGCGAATTGCGCGCGGGTTGATGCCCTTGCGCTTTCTCCTGTCACTGAACCTAGGCATCTCCGTCTCCCGCTTCAAGGATGTGTCCTTCGGTTCACATAAGCTCCCGCTTTCAGCAGCTCTGTTCGAAGCTCCTCTCAAAAACAGGAGACGGTCAGATGGCCGAGAGATGTAATGAGACTTACGAATGAACGCTTCTGAATCTCTATCCTGGAATGTTGCCTCTCCTCGATTCCAAATGTGCCCAGCAGGGCATCGACCGCCACCACTGGTACTCCCCGGTCACGCTCACTCTCGTTGATGTAGCGTATCGTTTCCTGATCGTACAGCCAAGGCATGAGCACCGTAAGAGGATGAGGCAGCGGTCCTCGAGAGCTGCACGTGGGACGAGATCAGCCTTGGTCAGCACGATGACCCGCGGCCTTGGGCGTGCCCAGCCTGCGCTTGCGGAGCCAATCGGGTGCCGAAGCAGAGCACCAAATGTCAACTCTTGATTAATAAACCCCCTCTGATTAATGGCAACCCGCGCGGGCCTCGGACCTGGCTCAAAATATTATTTAAAGGCGCTGGCCTCTTCCAGCAGAGCCCCCCCCCTTGAAAAAAAAAACCTTGCCAAAACCCCCCCC